TAAAAATGAAGTGAATAACCCCTCCAAATCCCTATATGAAGCAAATTAGCCCCTCCGTTAACTGAGCCCCTCAATGTCATTTGTGTAATGGCTTGCATGGCAGTTAATCTCCATGTGGCATCCAACATATCAAACAACTTCATCCATGGAAAAGAAATGGAAAACAAAAAACACTAACCATGTAGAATGCCAAGCACAAGAGCACACACTATTGCAGTTGTCACCACCCACAACAATGCACTACTTATCCGTTTGTCAACACTCCTACAATCAAATAACAAGATTAAATTAAAAGAAATGCAAACCCATTCAAATAAAAACAGCACTGTAAAATAAAAAAAACCCAAGGAATACGAACTTGTCCTGGTCTCCTTCATAGTAGAACATGGAAAACGGGATAATGAAGAAGACAAGCATAGCATCCACAATATAAACAGTGAGCCAAGGATCTTTCATCGGGAGGGGAGATTACAGGCGTCATTGTATATGGCATTCTTGCATGCCTGCCAGTTGGCGACATCTGTTGATAACATGAGAATGAAGATCAAGGTGACGGAAAGACCCAAAACAACAACGAATTTAGGGAAATATTGCGGATTGGCATCGTCCGAGTGCTGGAAATTGATGAGGAGATAGACATTGAAGATGAACACTAGCACACAAACCATTATCATAACGATCACTATAGCGAGGTTGAATCACCCATCGTTTATAGCTCTCTTGATTGAGTCTGATTGATATCAAGAGACACTGACAGAGATTGGGAGATTGGGGTTTTCCTTTATTCAGCAAATTGGATTGGGAATTTTTGTAGATCTTGGCTTGTTTTTTCCTCGGAATTTTTTGAAAAAAAAAAAAACGGAAAAAGGATTCCCTCTGGTGAGGTGGTTTGTTGAATTTTAGGGGTGTTTTTGATGCGGTTGAAAATGAGATTAATTGCCATGTAAGCCATTATCCAAACGACATTGATGGGCTCAGTTAATGGAGGGGTTGATTTGCTTCATACGGGGAGTTAGAGGGCTTATTCGCTTTATTTTTAGTTTAAGAGTTTATCACTTGTTGTCGAAAAAGTTGAGGGGCTTAAGAGAAGTTTTTACCAAAAATTAAAAGTTAAAGGTATCTTTAAAAGAAAAGAAAAGAAAAAAACAAAACAAAACAAAAAAAATACCTATAGGACCCATCGGCCTTGGGACCAGTGGCGGAGCCACATATAGTCCACAAAGGGCCATGGCCCCCCCTGATCTTTTGAAAAGTTTTTAATTAGCACCCTATACTTTTAAAAAGTATAAATAAGACCTTAAGATTTTAAATATAAAATAAGAATTTATTAATTATTTGAGAAATTATTAGATTATATCTCTTGGTTTCGTTTTAATTTCAGTTAAATTTGGCTTTAATGGTTAACATAGTATCTCTACAAAAAAAATTTAAAATTACTTTGTATTATTATGTTTTACCTTTCATTTTTCTTTGATAGTATTTAAGAAAAAGATAAAATTTTCTTTATTTTGTACATGTAGTTGATTATAGATGAATGGTAAGTTTTGTTTTTTAGTGTAGAAGACCACTACTTATAAATAATGTAAAATCTTAATTTTTATAATATCTTTGATTATTATCATAATTTTAATTTGTTATTAAAGAATTGTATCATGTGAGCTATTTTATCCCCTAACTAAGGATTACACCTTGCAAACGAACTACAATTAATTTGGGTACAAATGCAATAATTAATTTCATTGAAAGTTATCTAATAGCATGGGATTATAAACTCTAATCATATCTTCATAATACAAATGACTAGAATTTGGTATATTAATTATTTAAAATATCTTCACTAATAAAAATTTGATTGAATTGGTATATAATACCCACTAAGTTATCAATCTTGATTTACAATAGTATAAACCTTTGTAATGTG